GTGCTCTTCCGATCTCCCCAAAACCCCAAAACCCCACAATTCAATATTTTAAAACATTGATAATTGACTAATTAAAATTAATAAGAAATATAAAGATAAACTAACAATGTCTGAATCAGGTGGCTTACTTGGCAGCAATAGGAAAATTGAAAGAGCAAGTGGACTTCATTATGTCAAGGGTGAATCACATCAATAACTGACTGAACCCCTCTGGCCTAATATAACTAAAAATCAATTAAAATACATTAGACTGGCTCTTGCTGTAGTTGATACTCTGACTGGAATATATGACGCTGGAATTACAGGATGGAAACCTTTCCTCTGGTACTACTCAGATTGGGCTCTTACATTCACATTAATAACCTAATGGTCCTTGTTCATAGTGCATTTCTTCCCATTCAATGCTAAGCTTAATAATGCAGTACATACAATGTACTAAATTAATCTTCCAATGGAGGTAGCAATCACTTTGCTATATTGGAAATTTTTCTATTCTCATGGATCAATGCATATCAATGACATTAACACATACGCTCATCCTGTTTTTCTATACATAGTGCCGGCCCTATTTTTAATGATAGAGTATAGTTTGAATCAAATTATGTTTGACTACAAAAAGATCATTCATCTCATGATTTTATATTTCATTTACATGCCGTTTACATATCTAGGCAAATTCGTGCTAGGTTATTTCCCTTATCCATTCATTAATTGGTCCACTTGGTATTCATATGCAGTCCTGATTGCACTAGCTATTATGTAACTACTAGCTTTCTTCGGATTGGCTTTTCTTAGTAATTATCTAAAGAGCAGATATTTGATGAAGAATATGGAATAACAATCAATATATAATCTAGACAGGGGAGCGAGAGCGGCAGATTATGAAGTTTAAATGAATGACATGCGAAACAATCCTAATTAGTAGTTCAAGAGGTTAGATACACCAAAGCGATGATTAAACTAGGAATGGAATATTCATTTAGTGGGTGAATTTTAATGGGATTATTATTGCTAAAATGATAGTCTTATTTTTAGCTATTTTAAACTTTAGTATATTTTTCATTCACAAGCCAATTTTCAATTTATATATCTAACCACTTTTACTTTTAAATATCAATTATCAATTTTCAAAATAACTCTAGAAAACATTTTATGGGGTTTTGGGGTTTTGGGGTTTTGGGG